CCTCCGGGTGGATTCCAGAATTATGCCTTCTTATTGTGTTCTTCCTTGAGGATTTCAACAGGGCGTAATTCGTCAGATGTCATCGTTATTTCACTTGCGACGCAGAACCCGTCGTTATAACAACACCAACTACAGAAACTGGTAGGGATTTTGGATGCCAAAGTGTATTTGCTGTGCAGCCAAGCATGTGCCAAAAAAATAGCAACCCAAACATTAATAGCAGATTTTAGTTTTTGGTGCGGTCATTACTTGTTTACCCCCGAACCAGTCATCGCTGGTGTCGGTGGTTGACGTGCTTAATACTCCAAAAATCTGATACACCGGTACCGTTGTGGTAATTTTTCCTCGTAGCTGCCAATGTGACCGCCTACGCAGATCGCCTACGGTCTACCCGGTACGCCAGCTGATGCAATGTCCTAATCAGTGTGGGTAGTAGGCTGAATTATGACTCGATAAGTTAACTGACTCACTGTCATTAAAATCGTCTTTCTGTCTCTCACATAATTCATTCTCTGACAGCAAGGTCTTAGCTTGTAATAGGCATTGGAAACTCATCGTCTGTGTTGATTAACTGTAGGAGAGCCATGACTCACACAACTCATGGCTCACAGGGTTTTCATATCCGGCAAGGATTTTGGTGTCGTCAAACCTGGACAGAATTTTGTCAACGGAAATATGAAAGAGGATTTGACGCCCTGCCTCCTCCGTGCTGCTGCGTGCTCAGTGCGAATCATTCAGCTGTATCATTAGCGCTTGATTGATTTCTCTGCTATGCGAACCACAAAGGCTTTCAATGCGTTCCTGATATGTGACAGCTCTGGGAAACATTTGAGAACGACACGTTTGACAATCTCGTGTCGTCTTTTTATGCGCCGGTTAAAAGAGTTGGATGGAGGGCTATTCGCTGTGATATTCCGCCAAACGTATTGTACTTCAGCAAATTTGTTTTCCTGTTCACTACTGTGCCTATCTGTGCGCTGATGGAAGGCAACTAGGCATGTAGTTCGATGGACGGTTACAGTTGAAGTTCAGGATCCGTAGCGGAATTTCCGCTCAGACCTTCTTGATGGTGACTTTTAGATATGAATACACACGACCAGTACTTCTGTTTTCAAGACAGACCGGGAATGGTGGACTCCGACTTTGGGATATGACCGTGACAGCCCTGAGGAAAGCCCATTGGCCTTTTCGCTTCCCGAAAAGTTATCCGTCACTTTCCCACTAATGGTTGTGCAGCATTTTAATTAGAGAGTTTTGTGGTTTCCTTTTGACTACGTATTTTATTGCGCGGAACTGAATTCACAGTTGTTCCGTAAGTTTAACCTTGTAGGAGGTGCAAATATGATTTCCTTCTTGCGTAGACAACTTGAACTGTACTGCTTTTTTCCTTAGGAAGCCCCAACCGGTAAAACCCCGCAAGGATTTAGCATGTAATTCCATTGAGAAAATAGAGACTCCTGTAGAACGGGCAGGGTGATAAGATTAGGTTTATCAATATAACAGATAAGCGAAGCAATTGACCACCTCTACGGAAAGCTTTGAGAATACGCATATTTCTTGCATGAGTTTGTTTTGTTACTCCAATAAGGTGTTGGAATAGACGCGCAAAATTAAATCTGCAGATTAGAGGGCGCGTAAACGGCCGAAAACAAGAAGTCCAAGGACATTGGTTAACTTGGGCTGGTTAGGGTAATACATTCGGTGGCAGGCAAACGTAGCCCTAGCGCGAACACTGACCCGCACTAACCTGAAAATATAACGTTTACTTTAACCTATTCTATTAGCATCATAGTAAACTTAGCCAGAAGCATAACCCTAAGATGACATGGTTTCCTACCCCAACTGAGCAGGCATGATATTGTAATAAAAACTGGGTAGTTAAATATTAGATCGTCATACAAAACACCTTTACCACCAGTCTCATATTGGGATAGTTTTGAGTGTTTTCTTCTTACTTAAGGCGTCTGATAACTGGTTGCCATGATAGTAGTTAGGGCTACAATAGAAGTGGAGTTGTCAATTTAAGCAGAAATGCGGTTGCATAGAAAATTCGTATAGTAAATGTTGGTTGTTGTGTGCTGTTGGCTGTTATTTCCGTTTATTGGCTCGACAGTAAATTAAGTAAATCAGACGGATAAAACTCAATGTTTCAGGAAACCACAAATGCAGGTAAATACCTGGAATGTAAGTAGGTATCCAATCGACGTACTCACCTGAAGAATAACGCGACTGTTCCCGCCAGCGCGCAGATACACAAAAACTCCGCAATTATCAGTATGACCATCTTCGAAATGACAACTATAGGGGATTAGTAAACAGAAGTTAATTTAATCATTTCACTTTTGCGTATTTGAAATGGTACTTGATATAGTACGGAATAAGTCTACCCTGAAATACGTTCTGGTAAATAGACACGTCTCTTGCAGCAAATGGGTAAATATTTCCAGCCATTTTCTTGACATTCTCACAGTTGCATGCCTGAGACGAGAAGATAAGTAGACTGAATACGGGATAATTCCCCTGATAGCCTTTAAGTTAATGCTGACTGCTGTAAATTCCCTGACATACGATGAAAAGTATTTTCGTCAATCTAATAACCTCTTGATTTACAACCCCACGTTTTTTAGCCCTAGCTATTTGTCATACTGAATCTGATTTCCTGTAGGCAGAAGTAAATACTGGAGGTTAGTAAGACTCAATAAATGAATGCACAGGTAGCGTTGTGGCAATTTGCTCTTAAATGCACCAGTGAGACTAACTGGAGCCATGGATTAATGCCTTCTCTCCCTCGGCCCCTCTCATGTAAGCAGTAATACAAACAGTCACCTAAGTGTGGACTTCGTGAGTCTTCCATGACTGCCGGGGACAGGTGGACGGGTCCATCTTGTCTATCCACGAGAGCCGCGAGACCCCTTCTCCGCAAGCGGGTCGATTGCCGACAAACAATCATAAAATCGAGTAACGTGCTAATCGGGGCCAGCTAAATCAGCCACTGGGAGCTTCACCACGACAATCTTAGAAAATCCAAGCCTGAAGATACAGCTTAAGGAAAACCTTTATAAGTTCGACTGAGAAGTAACCGAACATGGAATATATAAGTGAAAGTCAGTTGTTAGCGATCAGATTTCCAGCACTGTTTATTAAGTGCTTCAACCATATTTTATGCTCGGTATTTTCACGAAGGCAAGCCCACAGAAAAACAAGCGCGCTGTCCAAAATAATGCCCAAATATAAAACCTTCTGCGGTAGGTGTGAGTGCATCAGCTGCTGATTGCTTCAGAGGCGAGGACAAGATTCTAACCTACCTTCATTGCATTTGGCATGCAAACAGAAGTCAGTAGTTGGTCCGGCACTGTTGTTAGGCCAAACTTTCTCTTTGACTGTCCGTACTGTATCCAGCGGAGAGAGTATGACAGAGGTTAGATCAAAGATCTCCCCGAATTGCATCGTTGCGATGCTCCTATTACTGGTCTCCAACTCGGGGTTGAGGGTGAAGAAGTAGAAGTCATACCAATCGTTATAGAAGTCTCCCGTTCTCGCAAAGGAGAAGGTTACATTGGGCAGGACGGGAACGGTTAATGGTTTTTCGAAAAGTGGCTGAAAAAAGTCACGATCATGCGGCAGAGTGTTGTTGTTAGCTTCAAAGTTCATCTGCGTCAGTGTTATGGCCATTGCACCCGCAGAGGCGGCCAAGACCAGGGTTTTCTATTGGGGACAAAGGAGATGGCATGTCACACTGAACGGTTAGTGTACGACACTTGCGGTCTCGCACGATTTCTCATATAAAAGAAGAGGTAAAAAATGAAAAGGCAATCCACACCTTATCTACGGACCACTGGATCAGACCATTTCTGTACTGTGCAGCTACTGATCAAATTTATGGTCTACTGAACCGATCATTATTCCTTTCCTTCGTGAAATCGGAAAAGTACCCTGCGAAGGCGTTCAGTGACATGACCTTGCCTCAGGATACATTTGTATTAGATGGAAGGTATGTGAGTAAGCTAAGGCAGGAGTTTATATTCCAGATCTCGAACAAGTCAAATCCTTTCAACGTACTGACCTTTCGGAATATAATTTCAATGTGAACGGAACACTGTGAGGAGACGGTTGTGCCCTGAATGGCTGATAGTATGTCCGGTGTGTTTCTACTAAGGGCCACTCATACAAGTCCCATCGATGAGTAACCTCCTCTGGCTGAACTATGCACCAATGGTGTCCCAAGAAAATAGCCAATTTGTATAGTTGCTTTTATTCTTCGGAATATAGTATACCCACTTTTATTTGAATGGGTTTCCTAAACAAATGCGTGTAAAAAGCTTATAAGCTGCTTCTTGTATACTGCAGAATTCAGGAGGTGAAGCGCGCTAGTAGCCCGGCTTTGCCTGCTGCATTTGCTGTATTTGTCATTCAAAATAAGCCCGTAATTCGAGTTTTCCTTAAAAGAAGTGCGGTAGAATCTCTTAAACGTTCACTTATAAACTTTTAAGTGATATAACAATGATGTACATGCTCGTGCGGTTACATCTAGTGGAGTAACATTTACCGGTGGGACACAGGAATGGAGATCCCTCAACCTGTTGATAGGTGTCCACTAAATTCTAAGGAGATTATGGTCATGCTTGACGTTTGGGTCCACTTTCCTGGAATTTAGCCTAGCTCCCCGGATATTGTGGCTGTTCAGGTGCCCATATCTTGCATGGTTACCAATTCGAAATGTGCTTGATACGGAAAACATACTATTCCAGTCAGTTGCTTACCCTTGCTTTAGGAGGAACCTCTTGTACACCTTAAACATAACCATCAATTGGATAGAAGTGTCACTTAAGTGAGTTAAAACGAGAAAAAGTGATTTGCCCATTGCATCTTTTCATTAATACAGTGAAGAAGGCACGTTTCCGGGAAGCCTTAAAGTATTTCCTGTGACTAGAATGTAGTCGGGTTTCAGACAATGAATGGGGAACTATATATTTTATGAAATTAAAAAAAATGGTGTAGAATAGCAAACCTGTAGTGACTGCATTTCTATCTCACTGATAACAAGTAGCAGAAATCTCTTTCTAAGGATTCGCCTGACTATCTGCCAACTACAGTTTGCCCACACCCTTGTAGATATATATTTTGGGACAAAGAGAATTCTGGTCTTCGTTAACTGCGTCATTCAGACAGGCATTGGAGGTTGACATTGAAATTGTCACCCCTAACTGATGTTCAGTTAGCAAACAGGATCCAGCATATGACGCAGTAGAATGTCATCACTTATGGCAGCTAAACACGTCAGTTTGCGTAGCCCTTAGATGCTGTTAAATCTGCTAGAGGGACGTACAGACTTAAATATATCGGAGTGGGCATCATAGCCTGGTCCATAGGGTAGAGCAGTCATGATGAACAGGCTGTTCCCCGCGGCCCCCATTCGCATTTCTTTGTCCAGCACGATACGCCAGAACCGCAATGAATCGTAGGTTATGAAGTTGGGCGGGTCAATTTGTATTATGGCTATTTCGCCCCGTTTGAAGACTGGTAGATCCTTGACGGACCTCAAAAAAAACGCAGCCAGCGTAGGCCGTGCCAACAGAAGGAGAGCTGAAAGAAATACAAAATCAACTTTTATAGTCTTGATCCAATTTTCATCCTGAGAGTGTCTGTTCCATCTCCAGCTCTCACGAATAAAGGCCATAAGTACCAAAATTTTCCATAATCTTTTGAACTAAATCATATTTTTAAACGCTCCAGCTTTTGTGAGTACGATACTAAGCGGTTAATCATTGAACGAATTGTAATTAGCGGTCGTTTAGTTTTAAAGAGTAGAAAGTATAAGAGGTTTCCAAAAGACGTATCATTTAGCTTAAATGTTTCAAGTTCATTTACAACTTCATATACATCTACCGATGAGGTAGATGAGGTTGGTTTTTTTTCATTCTCCTTACAGCGGTTTCAGCATAGTTCATCCCTGGAATCCGAAATGTGATAACTTGTTCAGCAGAAGTAAAGGTAGAGTCCAAATCCAGTAAATTAGCACCTATAGGTCTCGACATAAGGCAGAAATCCAGTCTACATTATCTATATATTAAACAACAGAAGTAGTGCGCATTCCGAGATAATATAGGAGAAAACTCGGGTTGGTAAGGTTAGATGATCCAAGATACCCGTGTTTACTGTGCGTAGCTAACTACTTATTTCGTGTAGTAGGCATGGTTTGGTTTACTATTTAATACAGGCGTCGGTTATGGCACTCATCACAAAACGCGTTCATTACGCTTCTACGGCTCCTAATACGTGCGCGTTCATCATGCAACGTGTTGCTAACTGTTCTACTACTACCAGGACAGCTTCTAGTTCATATTCATTCCGTTTTTATTCCATTTATTAGGCTTCCATCGCCCACTTATTAGCACGCCCCCCCATACACGGAAACCCTTCGTAACTTATGAAATCTTTTCGGTTGCACCAAGGCTAACATGTGCTCTTAGTCCGTTAGTAGGAGGCCGGTAGATAGGTAGGCCGCTAAACATCTCCGCGGCCAACGGGTGCGGGGGTTAAACAGACAATGGTGACACGGGGTCGACACAGCACAACGGGTGGTTAACAGAGGTGACGGCCGCGACGGCACAAGTGACATGAGATGGAATCAGGCGCAGCGGCACAAATTGTATTGGCAGGCTGCGCGCTCGGAAAGAGCGACATATAACGAAGGCCGTGAACCTGAAGTTTCAGTCTCTGAACATGGGAAGACCACACAACTATCCAAAACCTCAAACCCATAATAAGCTTCTCCCGGGGAACGCTCTTCCTTTTTTTGATTTGATTTCAATTTAAGTGGTACCTAGTGCTTCTTATATGGTAAATTACACCATATAGTCAAAGTAGGTGTACATTTGTGTACAACCTTACCCGGTATTTTATTTAACAGTCTTTTTACGAACTCAGGTAATTCTGCACACAATGGAAAGCTCACTAGCTAGTTAGTTTTGGTGTATGGGTGATTGGAGCTGTATAAGTTACTTTTTGTTTGAACTGCTTTTGCCGCGTATATCAAGGAACAAGGTCATAAGGGCACGCATTTTAGGAAAATAGTTACAACGTGTATTCTATTTCTGTCCTAAGTGATGCAATATGTTAGGCGGATGACTCGAAGTCTCATCCATGACTGTCACTGTCAACTATAAAATTATCGCCGGATGTTGGGTCAGTCATCTTCAAAAGGCTCGCAGATCACTGGCGAGAACGGAACAGAGCTATTCCAACTAGTGATTGGAAAACAAACCAGAGCCCTGAGGTCTACATGCGATAGGGAGCTGATGGATAAATTTCGAAAACTAAGTTCCGTTGCGGAGTAAGACAACGAGGTACTGGTCCGTAATCTTTCAGCAAAAGAGCTAGAGCCAGAACATATGAGAGTGCTATAACACGCCTCCGATCCGGTCAGTCTAGTGGCCACCATCGAATCGGTTCATAGACATTCCCATGAGCCCACTGAGACACAAAACCTCATTCGACAATAAGCCACTTCCCTGCTCATGACAAAAACCCCGCCTGGTGATCACTAGAACGGAACAGGATGTCCTGAGGACGCTGAAGGCTGACAAGACTATTATGCTTTGTCGGATCCACTTCATCAAATCACTTTAGTCACTATGTGACGGTCATTGAGGGTTTGCGTTGCGAGCTCCT